ATCAAAAACCTTCTTATATTGATTGTTAACCTTTTTGGAATTAAGTGTCGATTTGAACAAGTTTTTAGTTTGCTTGTTTTTGCAAGTCAATCATCAACGTCATTGTTTCTTGGTTGTATCACTGTATCTTATCAAATATGAATTTGTGTCATATATATATCATAATTTAATTCGCTGCTTAAGTTAGTTGTGTTTTTCATAAAATGATTATGTGCTTGTATAAAGACTAATAAAATTTTATATGAACTAGTTTCATTCTTAGTTTAACTATGTATCATCATGGCCGGCAAAAAAAAAAAAACTATGTATCATCATTATTTTCATTTTTATGTATTTATTATACAGTGTTTATTTAAAAAAGAGCTTTGATAATATTGATGTTGTAGACATTTTTGCTAAAAATTGCTATCTTTTACATATTAAAATTTTAAAAACAACATAACCAGCTCAAATCAAATTTAAGTTATATTTACATACAAAAACAATATTTTGGAACCTGTAATTACATGATTTGACAGTGATTAGAATGTGCATGTCTATCATCCCTATGTAATTGATCAAATTAAATCACTTAATTACTACAACATCTACTTGAACCCAAAAAAAACACCACTTATGTCTATTGATTGTTGGTTAAAATTACAACATAGAATCCCGGCCTAAAATCGTACATCTCCTCGTCAAGATACAAATACTTTTCTCAACCAAAAATTGAACAAAAAGGATCAGCGTTTTCTCTTTTGAAGGGAACTAACTCACACCACTAACTCGACAATGAGTTTCTATGTACATATATACTTGTTAACGAGCAAAAGGAAAGTGAAATCTAAGTTGGTAGATAAGTCACTCCTTGTCCGATCGGATCCCAATTTGTATAATAGAGTATTATCTTCTTCTTTTTTTTGTTGAAAGAAAAATATTTTATTTCATCAACCACGATATTTTTTGGATTAAAATAATTTAAAATAGCTCTTTATTTTATGATTGAATCGATAAGGACAGGGAGTTTTCTTAGCATCGAAGTTTTTTTTGTTGCATACGTTTATAGTGGTGCCCAAAAAGAGATGAGCGAGAGTGGCCATGCAGAGAGAGAAACCCTAGGTACCTCCCTTCATTTTTATATTAAAAAGGTCAAAAACAACGAGGGAGGCGAATAATTAGATTAATTAAAAAAACGAAAAGATTTTGAATTTATAAAGAAACAAATTCTG